CTGCTAAACTGTGTATTCTTTAACACTGTGAAATAGTATTTGTCTTTGTTTTGTCTTTTGGTTGAAAGTAAATTTGTTCGGTTGCTGCCAATTCTGCTAAACTGTGTGTTCTTTAACACTGTGAAATAGTATTTGTCTTTGTTTTGTCTTTTGGTTGAAGTAATGCAATCCATTCAAGTTTCAATTTGCAGAAGAAGAAATAGTTTACTTTCGCAACACGAAACTTAAAATCGCAACGCGAAACCAAAATCGCAACGCGAAATGAAAATCGCAACGACAGAATCGCAACGCGAAACCAAAATCGCAACGACAAGATCGCAACGCGAAACCAAAATCGCATTGCGATTTTCATTTCGCGTTGCGATTCTTTCGTTGCGATTTTCATTTCGCATTGCGATTCTGTCGTTGCGATTTTCATTTCGCGTTGCGATTTTGGTTTCGCGTTGCGATTTTAAGTTTCGTGTTGCGAAAGTAAACTATTTCTTCTTCTGCAAATTGAAACTTGAATGGATTGCATTACTTCAACCAATAGACAAAACAAAGACAAATACTAACTTCAGGGTATTAGTTTGAAACATATTTTTCTTTGTTATCTGATGCATTTTGTGAACTATGATAGAATAATGACTTGGGTGAATACAATGCAAGTTTGAAACATATTTGTCTTTGTTTTCACTGTTTAAATATCATGTCTGTTTATTTACTGATTTTTGTATTTAATTATTTAGCGGCCCGATAGAGTGGATGCTTTACGTCGGGTTATGCTTGCACGACGGAGTTCACGCATCAGACAGCGTGCACGTGCTATTAAGTCTCCGTACACCCCAATAGTGCGAAGACACCGCAAGAAGAAGCCCGACTCGCCTGTCATCCCTCAAGAGTCCACTCCTATCGTTGAAGAGGCCCCCCCTATCATTCCTCGAGAGTCCTCTCCCACCGTTCAAGAGGCCACTGTCATCATTGAAGAGGTCCCTCCCACCATTCAAGAGCCCGATTCACATGGCGTCATATGTAGGCTTCTTGAGAAACCCTCTGACGTGCCGGACATGATGGATTCAAGTTGGCTCTCGTATGAGTTACCGGCCAGTACCATACCGGTATCTGAAGAGGAGAGGGAACAACTACCGGATACAATTCTGGATAACACCCTTTGGGCTAAGACCGCTGTTGATTTTTATCTACATGAGCGGAGCCAGGGGTGTTTCACTGACATATGCAAGCTCACCGATGATATCTATTTGTTGCTTGATCGGTCTTGGTGGGGCGTATTATTAGGGGTCGAAGACAATGGCTATTTCGATGGGGGGGTAAGTCTTATATTTTTCTTATATTTCAATTTGATTAATTTTTTTTAAATTTATGTAAGTCACTAATATATATCTTTTTTTGTAAAACAGCATATCGATGCGTGGGTGACACGTCTTCTAATAATAAGAAAACTTAAGAAAAATAAAAATATACGATATACAATTATGCCGACGTCTTTTCACGCCGTTCACTTGAAGAATGCACGAGATGAATCATTTGATTTGGGCAATGGACAAGCTAAACTTTATCCTGCATGGTGGGAGGTCGATAAGGTTAGTATTTATTTTAGATTGAGTTTAAAGGTTTTATGAAATAAGTGCGCAAATGAATGAATTATTACTTATGATTGCAGGTGTTTATCCCTGTTTTGGAACGTAAACATTGGATTCTCGTCGAGCTTCAGCTCCCATCCCTTAAGACAATAGTGTATGACAGCATGATAAATTACATATCATTGGCTGATTTAAGAGATGTTATTAAGGGATGGAGCTCTCATTTGGCTAAATTCTTGGATGCGATCAATTATTGGACTCGTTCTGGAAACAAGAAGCCAAAGAATCTCAATATTACAGTTATTAGAGACGAGACCGCGCCACAACAAACGAGCGGAGCCAGAGGAGATTGTGGTCCTCTCGTATGCTTGGCGTTGGAGCGTTTGACGACGGGAAGCATCAAGTATCTACCTCCCACCGATAGAGATAGAGCTGCAGTAGGCTTGTGGTTTCGGCATTATATGGCTAAATCGATATATACGAGACGCTGCCTACCTGCATCCGCGTTATAAAAATGTCCATAAACAATTGGTAAGTTTATATACTTTTGGTTTGAAAATGTTTGGTTAAGTACATAGAATTCAATAATTTGCTGTTTGTAGGTTTTAGATGTGTAGAAAGTGTTGTTTGAGCAAATGTTTGGTTTCTGCAGGTTAATCTCAGAAGTGAATTGCGTGAAAATGATGTATGGCTGCAAAAGTTGATTCAATAGTTTAATTGATTGTTTTTTGATTGTTTAATTGATTTGTAAAAGTTGATTCAATAGTAGATGATCGGAAATAAGAATTATTGCTTATTTTTTGATTGTTTAATTGATTTGTAAAAGATGATTTGTAAAAGTTGATTTGTGTAATTGATGCGAACATAATTCTTATTTGTGCTTGTTTAATTGATTGAAATGTAATGGTTGATTTTGTTGATTTCAATCTGCATTATGTTGAAGGCAAAAATGACTATCGCAATGCGAAATGAAAATCGCAATGCGAAATGAAAATCGCAACGAGAGAATCGCAATGCGAAATTAAAATCGCAATGCGGAAATGAAAATCGCAACGAGAGAATCGCAATGCGTTTATAATTTCGCATTGCGATTCTCTCGTTGCGATTTTCATTTCGCATTGCGATTTTCATTTCGCATTGCGATTCTCTCGTTGTGATTTTCATTTCGCATTGCGATTCTCTCGTTGCGATTTTCATTTCGCATTGCGATTCTCTCGTTGCGATTTTCATTTCCGCATTGCGATTTTCATGTTGGGATTTTCATTTCGCATTGCGATTCTCTCGTTGCGATTGTAATTTCCGTGTTGCGATAGTCAAATGCATGCCTAATAGTGATAACAACTGAATAACAAGAGTTGGTTAAGTCAAAATGGTTGGCCTGAGTCATTAATTCAACTGAAAATGTTAAAAGTTCACACATAAAATCCACATAATACAACGTTTGCATTTAAAAATCACCTAAGTTAACAGTCCCAAAAGGTGAAGCCAATTGTGATTGGGATTTTAAAGATGATTGCCTTTTGCTTGACACCATATGAGCTTTGGATTTTGATGAGGATCCATATTTTGGTAGAGGAAAAGATGATTTTGATGGCACTTGTGATCCACATGTCAACCTTGTATGACCACTTTCCTTGCACCGACTACATGTCGATCTCTTCTTCTCTTCACCCTTAGACGGTATACGATCGTGACTTTTTGGTCGGCCAGGTAGCCTTCTTTCCATGGCTGGTGGCAAAACTGTTTGTAAGTCATCTGGTATGTCCCACTCAGAAGGATGTGGAATAGGGTAGACAATCTCGGCATAAGTCTGTCGATAAACTTATGTAGTGTAGCAATCCATAGCAATCCAAAACTGCTTGTAAAACACCATGAACATTATCCCATGACCCTCCAAAACACAAATCTATCCAAACATGATCAACATTAGATGATTTCATGGTTGTAAATTAATTTACTAAACAGACGAGCTGCGAAACTAAAACCTGTTGCCGGATTGGGAAGGATGTCGTTGGATATAGGAACGGATGTCGCCGGAGAGAGTGATAGATGGAGATGGAATGAGTTGCGATTTAGGGATTTAGTTTATGATTTCAGTGTTATATACCCAAAATTTCAGTGTTGTGATTTACAGATTCTCGTTGCGATTTACGGATTATCGTTGCGATTTACAGATTCTCGTTGCGATTTACGGATTATCGTTGCGATTTACGGATACGCGTTGCGATATACGGATACGCATTGCGATTTACCCATACGCGTTGCGATTTACGGATACACGTTGCGATTTACGGATACGCGTTGCGATTTATGTGTTCGCGTTGCGATTTTCATATTCGCGTTGCGATTTTGTAAAATCGCAATGCGAATTTGTACTATCGCATTGCGATTTTCAAGAATCGCATTGCGATTTTGGAAACTGATTTGCGATTCTGGGGATCGCGTTGCGATTTTTATTTCGCGTTGCGATTTTGTTGGTCATTTTGGCAAATCCAAAAAAAGTTGGTTAAAATCGTATATTATAACTTTTTTTTGGTCACTGAGGTGATTTTCTCATAAAAATAAGATTGAAAAACTCTTCTCTTGTGTTTGATTACTTGGATAAGTGTTGTCCAACCTTCTTCAAGTGTCCTCAACTTGTTTTATATGTTAGAATGAGTTTGTGGTCGTTTCTAGCCGTTGGAGATTAATTTACTGCAAAATAAAACTGTTCAGGACAAGGAGTATCAATATTTTTTAATGAGTGTCGGTACTATCTTTGTAATATTTAAATAAACTATCCGTTAAAGACCTTTGGGTTTGACCAATATCGATACTATGCTTCATGGTATCGATACCACTGTGTAAAGCAGTATTTGTACCCCTTTGAGTATCGATACCTATTTTATATTCTGGAATTTGAGCAATTTGGAAAACAACTGGTAGTATCGATACTACCTAGAGAGTATTGATACTTCTCTTACCTTTGGTATCGGTACCACGTGAACAATATCGAACTGTTCATGCAATATCGATATTGTAAGAACAATATCGATACTACGTACCCAGAAAACAATTTTGTGCTCAAATTTTAGTTTAATGGAATTTGAATTGTTTTTGAAAACTTTGAACAAATTCATTCAAATCCAAAAACATTTTGCCTTAATTTGTTATAACAAAACATTATAAAACATGGTTCAACATAATATCTATTATTAAAATTTAGATATTCAATTTTTCCGGATTCGATATAGATCATAATTTTAGTGGTCTGAAATCTTGGATATCTAAAATTTCGAATCGAATGATATCTTATATCCGGAAATACACACCCCTGTGAGATGTGCCAATGTCATTGTAGCTTATTAAACAAAATACTCTTGGCAAAGTAGAAAAAAATGGCAAAAACCAACTAAATAAAGATTTTCCATTTAGGTATCAAAATTCCAATATTTTTTGTGTTGCTAAGTGAGGTTTATAAAATATTCACAACTGATAACCAGTATGTTGGTGGTCACCACCAAAGTTAACATGGGAACAATGTAAATGAGGGTTCTATCTCTATCTTCCTACTTCTAAAGTTAATCCTTCGTAATTTCTCATGACACCACACCAACTGATCCGTGCTTATTTTCACCATGTTCAATACTCTTGAAACCAATTTCAGCTCAACCTGAGCTATGAACAATGCTTGATCTAATAGATTCCCCCCTTGTTGTTTCTTCAACTTCTTTACTATGCAGTTCTTAGTTCTCTGAATTTCCTTGAACCTTTTCTCCTTCTGCATATGAGAAAGAAGAACATGTTATCTCGAATATTCGAGTCGGGGAAAACATGGAAAGTTTGTGCTCAAAGAGGTTTAGGAAGCAAACCTTGTGAAGATCTGCTCTAACATCCATCAAAAGTTCCAAGTCAATAGGGTCATGCGGAGCAACCTGTGCTTGTTGAGGAGTCTTCGGGATCACACTCGAATTGTCTTTGTCGGCACGAATGAACTCCCATAAAACGTGCATTGATTCCTCTATGATGTCACTTAACATTTCATCCGACACCGCATCGTCTAATTTATTTCTTGAGCAATCATCTGCAAGGGGCAGGCACTGTGATGCTTTTCAAGAATTAAAAATATGTTGCAGGCTGCACAATATAGATGATCAGTTCATTTTTAATTACCTTTAATAACTGGAACATGGAGAAGATACCGAAGTGCACATCTGTTCTTCGTATAATTCTCGATTCTGGGTCTGTTTTGAAAGGGTTCATCCTCTAGAAATCTTTGCACAAGCACTTGAAAACGTTGAAATTCCCCGGCAACTTGGTTATACTGATGAATACCGAGGCTGTCGGATTCAGACAACATTTTTAGCTTTCCATATTGCCAATGAAGTATTTCCCAGGAAAGACATACTTGTCCAACATAGACAGTCTCAAAATCTATGTACAAATCTCTGATAAACTTCATTGCAGGGTCACCTCCAACCTTCCGTTGTTTGAATAGCCATGCATTATGCGAGAGAAGTGACTTAATTCCCGGGTCTTTTAGTTGAAGTAAACCTTAACACAAATAGATCGAGCCCAAAAGTCAATACAATAACATATTGGCAATACACACTCTACAAACGTATATGCTTTAATTCGAATTTTTTAGAAAGAATAATATTTTCTTTCACGGTAATAACAATCTGCCCTGTCTGAAGTGGCTTTATCAAGAATTTGAGGAGTGAAAAGAAAATAAATGCACATTTTTGGTAAAATAGTGATGGGAATAAAGAGAGAGAAAGACCCACCAAGCAATTTTAATTCTTTTTAAAGATCTCCAGTCGTGATGGGAAAAAATCTTCCACAGGTAAAGGCAGATGGCATAAATAGAAAAGAGAAACAGAATTTCCTAATTTTATGTGACTAATACACTCCCACGATTACTATAACAAAAAATGAATTAAAAAGAAAAAAGAAAATAAAACGAAAGAAAAGAATTGAAATGAGATTGATTGGTGCCTTACTGATTGCATGCATGGTCTGGGAATTCAAAATGTCCAGTTTCTTCATCTTATCACAGTAATTCTTGCAAACCTTTTGAATCTCCGCAATGTGATCCTTGTGATCATATTTTTCATTAATCTTAAGTGGCCTAAGTTGTTCCTCTATCTTTGGAGACTCGGACTCTTCTAGAATTGTTGGAAGTCCCCCTGTTCTCGCCATTTTCATTTCCATTCTCAGTCTCTCCATTAATTCATCTTCCTCGTCATCGTCGTCATCTGACTCGAATTCTGAATCACCTTCTTCCTCGACGCTTAAATCTTCTCCAGGCTGTGCTCCTCCCATTACACACAGTTCTATGAATTTATCGTCAGAATCATTGATTGGACCACTTATGTCTGCTGCTGCTGTAGCATCTGACGTGCTCTCTACGTTTCGGCCATGACTATGAGGTCTTAGGTCCACTCTATTTGACGATATTTCATAAGTAATTGACTCAGCATCAACCGTGTTTGTGGGGCTAAACATCTCCCATTCTTTGTTAGGTTCCCCTCTTTCGTGACGCCATTGTTGTATATACATGTCGATAACCGGACTCTCGAAAAAGTTGTCGAATTTCTCTTCTACGTCACTTAAGTGTTTCCCTAAACTCTCCTCGATGATGTAATTCCCAACTGATTCCTCTGCTTTGTCTTCAAAGATGTCTTCTTTTTCAACCTTCACACGCTTTTCAACAACATAATCCTTTGCTGTCTCTTTAACATCTTCTGTTTTGACGACATCATGTACTGTTTCTTCCTCAACTCTAACCTTTGCATCAATCGACTGTTGTTGTTGGATATGTTTCAGAAAACCCCAGTCGAAGGAGAACCTCAGAGCAGATTCCTCTGTTTCATCTAACTCTGGTTCTTTCTCCAAAACGTTTTCTAGATTGAAACTTTCGTTTGATTTCTCTTCGACAAGCTCCTCTGCTTCGCTTTCGTCAATACCATTTGCTTCCAGAGAATTCTCTTTTTCTTTTCCAGCAGAAAAACTCTCCCCAGGATCCGTATAAAACTCATGAACAGTAAATCTCTCAGCTTTGGGTTCTTCAATGAATCCACTGAAACGATTCCCATACAAAAACTCATACTTGCTTGAGCTTGCCACCATGGAAGAATAATTCTCTGCTTCTCTATTCCCTTGATCAACATCATCACTGCTCTGTCTGTCTTTCAACTCATCAAAGCATGAATCTGAAAAGCATTCATTAGCTGAAAACCTGCAAAATACACAAACAAAAAACAAATTAACCCAATACCTTAACCCCCAAGAAAATACAAAATCAACAATCAAAAAGGCCAAACCTAAACAAGTATCCAAGTGTTGATCCAAAAACAAAAGCAATGAACTTGGAGAGAAAATCCCAGAGAGAAGCAACAACCTGAAGCATATTGGTATAGAAAAAAAACCCCACGAATACAAACGGAAAGAAAATCAAGATGGGTTTTCTTCAACATGATAAATGATGAATCTAGTGACACACATGGATTCAATCTTTCTCAATCTGAATAATTTCGCTCCCTGACAGAGAGTAATATATATCGGAGAAAGTGGAGTGTCCACTTTGTTTTTGAAAGTGAAACCTTACATTGACGAAAGACGAGATTTATGAGAAGAGAGGGAACAAAATTGCTTTTAGTATTTAAAAAGAAAAAAAAAAGGCTTTGATTTCGAGGATGATTTTTTAATCATAAAAGGTTCAACAGTTACGGAGTTTTGTGTTTCAGGTTCTTGAAATATTGTAAGAGTTGACCCACACGATTTCGAGTTAGGTTCTCGATGATGTTAATGTGCGGAAGAAAGGATCATCCTGCCCATTTAATATATTATTATCTCTGATGATGGGGAAAAATTATAGACAAGATTTATATGTTAATATGTGATTTACTTAGGATTTTAAATTTAATATTTGAGATCATAGTAATATTTAAATATTGTGGAGTATTTTTTATATGTGAGAATAAAATAATAACTATTTTTACTCTGGCTTTGGTTTGGTTTGTCTTGTAATAAACATTGAAGAAAAAAATATACTCAAAATGAAGGGCCATCTTCCCGAAGCGAATGTATCGAGAGGATAATTACATATCTTTTATTTTTTTTAATATTAAATTAAATTTAATATATTAAAGGAGAAGAAAAAATAAAAAAATATATATATATATATATTAAAATTTTAAACTCTATTTTTAATTTATAAACCCATCATCACAATCCTAGAAAGAAGGTAAAAAAAACAAAGCCTTAATAATTTCATGGGAAGTGTATGCAGTGGGATATATAGTAAGGCCACTTGGTTTTGGTCATTTGTGTTGTGTTGAAATGAATTCAATCAGCTGTTGGGAAACCTACAAAAACCAAAATTAACACAATTATGGGGAATGCGACTCCTGCCACCACTATATGTCTTCTATAGATATTTCAAAAAGAAGTAAGGTATAAGAATCCATCTATTTTAATGATTAAATGATTTATTGTTATCTCTTAAGATCTTAAATTCGAACATTACATATATAATTATATGAGCGTTTATTATCGAAAGATTGAAAGTCTTTGAATAAATATTACTTTATATGACATATTTATATAAAAAAAGATAAAATTATATATTAAAATTACAAAATATTATATTTTCTTATTTAATTAATTTGATTGGAATTTTAAATTATATTATTTAGCTGGGAGAATGAAAAAGGTATATTTTATTAAATTTCTCATATTTTAAAATTTATTTTTAAAATAAAAATATTTTTTCATATTTTAACATATTTAAGTTTATAAAAAACATTTTTTTTTCAAAAAGTTAAAAAATAAGATAATTTATTAAAATTATAATTTCTTTTAAAAAGAAATAAATAAAGTATTCACTTCATCTCTACTTCCTCACCTTCATGAAAATTAAAACTTCATCTTCACTTCAAATTTATTTTAACTCCAAAAAAAAAACTTTATTTACATAAAATAATATGTTCAACATAAAATTTATTAAAATTATTCATTATTATAGTCTCCAACATAAAATTATTTACATCCACATATGCATTTAATGTATTTTATATATATAGTATGGTATGTTAACCTAAAATAATATGTTTAAATGTTCATTTTGTCCTTAAAGTAAATCCAAATTAGTAATATTGTCTTTACTTTTTAATTATATCAACTTTGTTCTGAATATTATTTACTTATATCAATATCACTTTTGCTTGTTATAATATTGATGTGATAATTTACTATATTAATGCGATAATTTATTACGTGAACAGAAAAACACTGATACTTAATTTGTAATTTTCGTCCACTATTAAAAAAAATCAAAATGTAAACCAATACTATAAAAATCATTAAAACTTAATTTATAATTTCCGTCCACTATTAAACAAAAAATAAAAATTTAAACGAATGCCACAAAAGAGTTGAATGAAATAGGTTAGACTTGTCAGAAATTTAAATAATAATATAAACATATATTTATCAAAGTAGAAGAAAAGGATTATTCTAATTAGAATTTGAGATCCAATGTCTAGAAACAAACTATATTTGTAATTAGGTGATGAAGGGTCTAATAGGTTTAGTTATTTCTTTTTTATTAAACTAATGTAATTACAAAGTAATATATATTCTAAATACTCTCAATTATTTAACGATAAATGTTCAATTACTCTTACAATTGTTGATGTTCGAATCTATAATCTTTCTTCTTTTACTTTTCTAATGTTTATTTGATATTTACCTCTCACTAGCCTTTGAAGCCCTGTTTATTTCAATTCAAACTTGTTGAATATAACAAAATTTATTTTGCATTCAACTTTATTATATCTTTGAAGTGGTCCTAACGGTTTAAGAATTTTTTTTTTAATGACTCGAACAACATAATCAGAATATGTACACGAGTTTAGATTTAAATATTTTCAAATAAGAAAAACTCTATTGTAAATTATTAGCTGACCCTTTTTCCCTTATGTAATGATGTAAGGGGGAGGTATGGTAGTAGGTTGCCCCCAACGCTAGGTTGAAAGCAACTTCCGTGAAAGACCTCTAGCAATTATGAATTGTCCACCGTGGGATTCGATCCCACGACCTCAAGGTTAAGAAAAACTCTATTGTACATAAACTTAAAAGAAGAAATGAATGAATTAAGCTTTTTTTTTTATTATTTATACAGGAATGCTTAAATCTGGCCCCTTTCCTCCCATTAAGGGCATATGTGGCTAATACTTCTTCTTATAGATGAATACATGACTCGAATTCGATAGCTTTCAACTTGATTTAATTTTATTGGATTGAGCTTTTTTTAAATAAAAAAAAATCGAGCTCATATCTATCAAGTTTCTTAGGAGGTAAGTTTGGGTGGGTCAGATTCAGATTTATGATAAAAATATTCGATCAAAACAGAAAAAAATATAATTATACTTTATATATTTATAGATAATTGCAATAATATCCTTCTCTATATTATTTTTTCAATTAGATCCTTATTTTATCGAATAAAATTAATAATTTTTCATAAATATATTTATTTCGGGTGCGAACGGATTGAATACGAGCTTTATCTCAAAATACGATCAAGTTTCATATTGGATTAAATCATCTTAAACTCGGATTGGATAAAATTTCAAGTGAAAAGTATATAATTTTTAGTTGAACCGAATTAGTCAGAAATCCAACCCACACTCCGTCTCTTCAATCCAAAAACACGACAACATCCCCATTGATTTCGCTGGGAATATTATTCCAAACAAAAAAGAAGTCACCATCCTCTTGGAATGCCGACTTGTTTTGTTGAAGTTAAAATGGACGGTTGTGGGCGGTGTTATTCAAACAAAAATATATGAGAAATTTGCTTAATTTTCAATTGCCACATCTGAAATGACAAACGTCAACGAGTGAATACACCATTTGATTTCATCCACTGAATTGACATTTTGCATCTTTCTTTCTTATTTCCACCTTCACATATTTCCCGGCTGTAATTGGGATTAAGTTGAGACAAACAGGGATTGACCTAGAGAGACGGGTGAACGTAGTTGTCTCCCCTAATTTTTTAAATTTTTATATATTTTTATATATTTTTTATTGAAAATATATTTTCTCCTCTTTAAAATTTTATAAGTTCTCATATACTTAAAGTTTATAAGTTCACCCATCTTAACACAAAATATTGTGTCCGTCCCTAGACACAAATGGGACTCCTTGCAACAAATTCCATTTTCACGCCTTTCTTCTTCTCGTTAATACACTCGAACCAACGAGATAGAAACTTCCCTTTAGTAGTGTAAATTAATTGATTTAAACAAATAAGATTATGTTTGTGTCCTTTTATTTATTTTTAAAAAAGTTTATATTTGTTTTATATTCATTTAAATTTTAGTTTTAATATCGTGCTCATTTATTTATCTTTGAAAGTGTTCATATTCGATTAGTTTATCGTTCAAGAACAAATTTATTTATGTGTTCATTAATATATTTATTTAGTGTTCACAGACATGTTCATTTATATGATCTAGTCCCCTCGACAACCAACACTCTTTTTACCTTTTATTTTTAAACTAAATTCAATAATTTTTTTCATACTCATTTTTAATTTTATATTTATTTTTAGATATATATATAATATATATATATATATATATATATATATATATATATATATATATATATATATGAAAAAATACTGAATTTAATTTAGAAATGTAAAAAATAATAAATTGAATATGAAAAATTATTATATTTAATTTAGAAATATAAAAATGATAATTTTAATTTTATACCTTATATTAAATACGGTTTATAATATATATAACCTATTTAATTAAAACATATTATATTTGTTTAGCTGATTTAGGTCTCTTATATTTTATAATTGACATAGGTTTGAATCCTCATTTGAATGATTTTATTTCTTTGATTTTCTATCACTAACAATAGTGTAAGATAAATACAGTTTGTTGCAATATCAAACCAAATGAAGCATTTAACCTAGTGGATTGGGTGTTCTTCTTCCACCCAAGGGTCTTATGGTCACAGTTGATACGTGTCATCTCCTGATTGAAAGATTAATTTATTAAAATTAAATTAAAATTAAGATCAAATTGATTGAATGTACAAGTACTGAGGATTAAATATGTAACTATACTAATTTTGTTAACTGTCATGTAAGCACTTCCTTTAAATGTTAACGATAGGTGACTCGATTGAAATCACTTAAATAGTTAAGTGGTCATATTGACAAAAAAATAATATTAATGATCATATAGACATCAATCTTATAGTTAAGTGATCATACAAGTAGTTTACCCTATTTAAAATTACTAATTTTCCATCATTGCATCACTTAAACACTTTTACCCATATCTTTAAGAGAGAATCGCCTCAGTGACCAAAAAAAAGTTATAATATACGATTTTAACCAACTTTTTTTGG